AAAATAATATTCCTATTGTCATGAAAATAAAGTTCAAATTAATTTAATATCATGCACTTATATGCATCATTGTAGATACATATTTATCGATGCATGTAAATAACATATTTAGGATTAAAAATTAACAGTTGTTTTGCACTGTGTGTATCATCAAAGATATTCATGAACCAATATTGATCAAATCAAWTTAAAATGAACATAATTAAATCGTTGAAACATATAATACAGACAATTGCAATTCTAAATTATATTGATTATTTAAATTTCAATTCGTATTGTAAGAACACGGTAAAAAGAATTTAATAAGAATGTAATAGATTGATGGGTTAAAGGATTGAACAAAACGTAAAATGTGTTCTCACATTAATCTTATATAACTCTTTTCAATTGAACAATATAAAATAAAAATAGAGAAAATTAATAGGAAAATTCGACTGTTAGTTCTACCTGAACAAAAAAAAAAACATTGACGAAGGAAAATCGTTTGTGGGTAGGGTGTGGTGGGAAAAATAATACTAAACGGGTTTTAGTTTTAGATATATTCTACGATACCTTGCTAGCTTGTTTCATGCGACGTAAGAAAACGATAAAAGAATGTGAAACGAACGTTCTCAAGGGTACTACAAAGATAAAGACAAAGAAAAAGAGAAAAAATAAAAGAAAACAAAACAGAAAGAGAGAGAGAGAGAGAGAGAAAGAGAGATTCTTGCGAAAAAAGAAAGGTGGTGCTCGTAAGACATCCTAGCTTGCTGCTGCTGCTGCTGGTAAGGTAGAAAAATAGAAAAAGGAAATAGAATGAGATAAAGAAAGAAAAGAAGAAAAAGAATAAGAAGAAGAAGAAGAAGAAGAAGAAGAAAAAGAGGAGGCTGGAAAATGCTGATCCGCATTCCCGAAACGCCCGGTATTCCGGTGGTATTGCACGAAATTGCTGTACTCTGTCCGTGTCATTCTCCGGGCCGGTTCCTGCATTCTCTTTCTTTCTTTCTCTTTCTTTCTCTTTATCCGTTTTTCCCCTATTTCTGTCCCTGTCTTTCAACCCAAGTTTCCCCTATATTTTATTTTTCCCTTCTTCTCATTCCTACCGACACACTGCTTACGTTCTCTAACAGGACAAGTTGCTTTCACTTCTATTTTCTATCTTTTATTTCTATATAATATGGGTGTTTTTATTTATTTTTTAAATCTACGTTTAATTTTTATATACTATTATTATTATTATTATTATTATTATTATTATTATTATAAGAATAATTGGAGTTAGTACTACTTTTAATGTCGTGTTTTATATTACATATACCATAACAATTCAAACAACATAACATTTAGTATCTTGCAATTATTGTTGCAAATAATTTCCTAATGAATTTATGTAAGATTAATTTTTATTTCCTTTTTTTTTCAGGGCCGAAGAATATTTTCAAGGCCAGATACGAGATCGACTTTCAACGAAGGTTCAAGGTATTTAATAAATCATTTTGTTTTTCATTAATTAAGAAATTAATTTCAATCATATCTGATTCATTCTAATTTTCTGTAAGCTAATATTTTATAGAATACAATGAAGATTTTATTTGTTACATGTTAAAGAATAATTGGAAAACATTTCTATTGGATAATTAAAGTATTAAAGTATATTACTTAATAAGTATAATAAAAAGAGTAGTAATATAGTAGTCAATTTTTTTGCAACGATTATCTTTCGCTATTCCACGATTGGCATCAACTTTTTTATTATACTGTTCCTTCCTACTATCATTTTCTTTTACAACAACTTGCGATTTCCGAATCCAATTTCCGACCACAGTGTGTAGACAGTATTCCGATAAAAGAAAACTATTCGATTTACAATAAGCGAGTCAGATGCAACCAATAAAAGTTTATTATAATTATACGATTAAACTACTATATTTACTTTCTTTTTTTTTTTTTTATTAAGATAACCAAACGATTAGAATATATTCTTAACGAAATATATTATTAAACAAAAATAACAACCAGGCATAAATTCAAATTTTGGAAAAATTGAGAACACTTTATACATCTACAAAAACCAGGTGTTTATAAATTACCATTATACAAAATTGAGAACCAATTATGCATCTACAAATAAACAAAATAAATTATAAAAAATTGAAAACCAATTATGCATCTACAAATAAACAAAATTAATTATAAAAAATTGAAAACCTATTGTACGTCTACAAAAAAAAATTAATATACATAACATAAATAATAATTAAATAATAAAATAAATTAAATAAATAATTTCTTACAAAATTGAGCTTCAATAAAATTTCTCTCACTTGAAAATTAAACAAAACAAAAAAATAGAATTGTCAAGCATGAAATGTTGAAACGTTGTATGTTTTCTCGCGATAAGAAGGATAAATCGGTATAAGTTAAATAAAAAAAAAAAAAAAAAAAAAGGTGAAAAGAAGATAGAAAGAGAAAGAAAGAGGGTGGTTGAAATAGGATGAAGGGGTTGAGAGTAGGAATGTAGAAGAGTAAGGGGTGAGGATTGGGTGGGTAGTATGACAGTACAAAGAGAAAGAGAATGAGAGAAAGCTGTGAGCTTTGGAAACTAGTATCGCAATGGGTCGTGCATCCGTGATTGTACTGGCAGTCACGTTTACGGTACAGAAACTATCGGAATTTGTAGGATATATACATATGTAGATATATATATGTATATATACATGCATTCACATATATGTGATGTCCTATTGTGTCTTTTACGATGCATGCAACTCGATTTACGAATAGCATTGCAAGTGCTGTTTACCTTTCAATCTGCACATTTTTATCGATTAACTTTTTACCTTGGTATTTTTTTTTCCCATCCCCTATTCTTTCCATTCAAGAATTCTTTTTAATATTCTTCCCTTGACTCTCGTATTATTATTATTATTATTATTATTATTATTATTATTATTATTATTATTATTATTATTATTATATTTATTTTTGTCAATTTTATTTTCAACCAATGCCATTGGTTTTAGAAATATTCTGTTATCGTTTAAATTATTATTATTATTTTTTATTTATAATTATTTTTTTACTCGCCATAATTTTTTCTATTAATAAAAATATTGTTAACTGATGCATGTTAAAAAACGGTACAAATAATTTCATATAAATGAAATATGGAAATAGTGTTGGTAAATCTTTCTGAGATTTATGATTTATTTAAACGATCACCGATTTGCTTATGCATACGTTGACATTATTGTTTCTATGATTGTGAATGTTTTTTAATATTTCAATATAATTTTAATTTAAACGACATGAAATTTATTTTCGATTATTTTTCACACTCTTTATTTTCTCTTTATTATCAACGTGTTGTTAAATGGAAAATGCTTTTACCTTTCTTATGACGAAGCAATTTTACAAACTCACCTGTAATAACTACAGGGATCACAAGGAGTTTTAGAAAAATTATAAATATATATGTTCGTGTGTATATTCTTTGTGTGTGTACAATTGTTATATCATTTTGTTTCTAACACGTCATTCAATATATATTTTTCTATCTGAGAAAGATGATGAATTTTCTCAATAGAAATAATTAAACTGACAGATCTATTAAAACTAAATAAAACTAATGTCATATTGTACGTTTAAAAAAAAATATATACATTTATATATAACAATAAATAAATGATGAAAAGTTATAATAGAATAATAGAATTAATTAGAATAATAAGATAATAATAGATTAAATAAAATCAATACGTTTGTTGAAATAAAATGTTGCAAATAATAAAACGTCTTACAGTCAATAAATTATAAGTAATTCAAATAGAATAATTAAAATACAATAGGAACAGAATTACTTTAAAATTGTCCCTAGGTTCATTTACTTTTTTTTTTCTCACTAAAAATACTATAATAGATTCGTCTGAATAATATTGAAATATCACCATACGATATTTTTCATTACTTCCATATGAAATAATAAAATAAATCGTTGGATAAAAAAAAAAATAACAGCAAACAAAAAAGGAATATTTCACTTGAAATAATTGAAAAAGCAACACCCTATAGATACGTAAACTACAGTATTGTAGATGTCAGTAAGGTGATAGGATCAGACCGAAACCCTGGATCGAAGTAACGGAAATTTGATTTCTCCAGCTTGTAATATCACGAACGTCTGCATATATTCGGCAAAGATACATATGCACACTATAACATAGTTACATGCATATCTTTACATGCGTACTACAAATTCACCTGCAAGTATATACAAAATATATGTATTATACATACATAACATAACATACATACATTACATACCAAAATGCATATATTCTCCTATGATATTCACATACGAATAATAAACTCATGTAAATACGTGTTCTTGGCATTCATTTTCACCCCCACAGCACAAGTTCTCCTCCTTTTCACCCCTTCTCTTTCTCTTTCTCTTTATCTTTCTCTATTTCTCTTAAGATTCTGAATTTAGTACTCATTGTTATTTAATTCGATACAAGAATGAACACATTAATGCACTTAAAATGTTCGATGCTACTCACATACTCAAACACACATACAAATACACATATATATATATATGTAAACACAACTCTTCATTATTTTCTCGTAAAACTTTTTTGTCTGTAAAACGTAACTACATTCTAGTAAAATCGTTTCTAAACGTTTCTACGAACAAAATTTGTTTAAATAATCGATTATTCTAAAAAAAAAATTAAAAAATAAATAAAACGAAATAGTAAAAATAGAAAAGGATGAATAAAAATTTAGATAATAGTATTGAACGTGTGTGTGTGTGTGTGTGATTAAAATAAATTCAATGATCATCATTGATTTGAGTAAAATAATTTTTTTTCTTTGACATGTTGGTGTTTCGTTTTAACATAAAAAGAAAAAGAAGAACGGCATACACAGTAACACACATTTATTAACTTTTTCAAAGTAATAAAAATAAAATTTATCTCATCTGAAGTGGAAAACTTTTCGATAGAACGTTACCGAAAGAATAAAACACGCGTAAAACACTTCCACCTATCCCCAAACTCACCCCTTTTACTTATTTCTTTTCTTATTCCTTTTTACAAAGTATAGTATCACGAAGTATTATAATAACATGTATCGATTCTAAATGAAATTCGATTAGAAATGTACCCCGCAGTAATATTCCTGAGATAGAAATTGAACTTTCTATTTTTTTTTCTTTTAAGATAAGGAAAAGGGGTTTGTAGAAAATAATTTTCCTATCCCCTATTTTTTAAAATTTTCTAAATCTAATTTTTAATAATTTAATTCTTTCGAAAAGATCATCTCATAGATGAAATGTCAGCAAGAATTTAAGGGATTTTTTTTATTATATGATCGTGTATATGTGAGTGCNAATATATAATATTTATATAAATATATAATATTAATATATAATATTTATATAAATATATAATATTAATATAAAGTATTATATTAATATATAATAATATTAATATTAATTATATACTGTATACTTTAATTATATACTTAAACTATTACTGATAATAATAATAATTGGCACGTAAAATAAGAAAGGTCACGAAATAAGGGGGAAAAAGAAATAGAAAAAATTTTTTAAAAATATTATCGGATAATACTAATAGTTCAAGTATAGTTAAATTAAACGATGAGACATATATATATATAAAAAAAAAAACAAGTATTTCAAAGGTAATGATATAAAAATTTGTTCCATTATTTTTAAGATAAAAGAAAAGAATATAATACCAGGTGCGATTATAATTCGAATGAATATCTTTTTCTATATTTTTTTTATCTGTTTCATTTTTTTTTTTATCTCCTAGCCGAATGATAATAATTTTGAATCGTAGCTTCGTAGTTTCGATGAAAAATTCTCAGAGGTGTTGGAATATTTAATAATGAAAAAAAAAAAATGGTAGCGTTGGAAAGAATAACGAACAACGAGAGATGAGATGAGATGAGATGAGATGAGATGAGATGAGATGAGATGAGATGAGATGAGAAGAAAATGAAGAAAAGGTTATAGGTGAGGCACGTAAAAAAAAAGTAAAAGGGAGGAAAGGTTTAGGGCTTCGAGGAAAGGATTTTATTGAATATTTTAAGAATTCTTAAAGCTCGTTAAGTAATAAGAGAAAGAGAAAGAGAGAGAGAGAGAGAGAGAGAGAGATAGAGAGATAATAAAAAGCTAAATGAAATTAGCTCGACGAAAATTCCGTCTCATAGTCGAATAGATTTAACAATTTCGAATTAGTTATTCCTCGTTAAGAATATTTCTTTGTTTTTTTTTTTTTTTTAAATATCTGTATTACACTTTGAGATAAATGTATTTTACACATTGTGATAATAACATCTCGTTAGTTAGTTCGTTAGTTAATTTTTATATATTTTAATTTAATAATAATAATAATAATAATAATAATTAAATATAAATTTTGTTTTACGAAAATGCAACA